CACCACGTGTTTTCTTTTTCTTTTTAATTCTCTCTTTGTGTGAACAATTAAATATTAGATAGTAACCAATCATATTAAATGAAAATAATAATCATAATGGAAGAAGTGAGTTAATAGGTTTTGGCTATTTGGGATGTGACTGAGTGAAGTTGATGTGTCGGTAAGCTTAGATTAGATAATAAATGACAGAAGTGAAATTCCACACGTGTCACTTTAGGAGATGTGCTATCTTTAGATCTTTGCATGAAGAGGAATGATAAATTATTTTGTTTTATTTTCTTTTTTTTGTTGCTCTTTTTTGATCTAGCAGAATTACAGAAATGATAAGACTCATGCTTGTTTTTTTTCGCTTGGTTAGATAAGAGCATCTCCAAAAATACTCTCTATTTTAAAGTTTCTAAAACTCTATATTTAAAGTTTTAAGGCATTTTTTTCCAAAAGAAAAACTTCAAATCTAACTTCAAAATTATTTCTATTTTACATTTTGATCCTTATATTTGTCATAGTGAATATAAATTCATAAAACATTGATAAATAACGTACACATACAGTAGAACCTCTATAAATTAATACTCGATAAATTAATATAAACTAAATATCTCTATAAATTAATATAATTTTATAGTCACAAATTAAGTTTTTGGTTCAATTAGTATATCTATAAATTCATATCTCTCTAAATTAATAAAAAAATACAATTTTGGTGTAGTCCCAAAATTATTAATTTATAGAGGTTTCACTGTATATATATATATATAAAAATTATACAAGAATAGTAATTAATAAAATCTTACACTAAAATATAAAATTATAAATACAAATACATGATTATTACAAATAGAATACCACATTTTTGTTGTCTAATTTTAATTTTAAAATATTTAAAAATACTAAACCACAAACAACTATTTTAAAATTTATTATAAATTTTTATTTAGTTTTAGGTCTAAACTTAAATTTATAAAAGGTAAATTTTAATTTGAAATATTTATGAGATTTTAAAAAATTTTATTGACTAAAACAATAAACAAAAAAAATATTTATAAATTCTAATTTTTATTTGTAATTGTAAAGACCAAAATGCAATTAAAAAGATGAAACTTCAAATTTAGAGTTTTGAGTATTGAAACTTCAAATATAGAGTTTCACTCTTAAAAACTTCAAATTTGAAGTTTTGAGGTTTCTTTTTGGAGAGCAAAAAACTCTATATTTGAAGTTATAGAGTTTATTTTGGAGATGCTCTAAATTGCTATTTATCTGTGACAAAAAAAAGAAGATAATTGCTATGTATATTAATAAATGTTATTTTTTGTTTGTCCCAAGAAAAATTAAAATCCAATAATGATGCAAGAATGATTAAAGTAAGATAACCAAAAATCAATAATTGTGAAGCAGGACCATGATTTTGATTATAAAATAAATTATAAATGCTAACTTTATATAGCAATTGGCTTGAATTTAATATTATTGTTTGTAACGTTATTATTGTCTAATGTTTTGATTAGTGCCACGCACGGGAGAGATGTGGGAGAATAACTTTCCGCCAGAGGATGATTGAATTCGAGTCAAACCGTGCTGTAAAGTATATATGAATGAAAAATACCATATCCTAAGATCGCAGCAAAATATTTCTTGGTTTATACAAATGGCATTTTTTTGGATTCAGGATTTTCTATTGGAGGTTAGACTATATAGTTTGATATTCTCATTAGATAATAAAAGATGCTGATTCGACAAAGTTTCATCGTTTTGCTTTGTAATTTTGGTTATATACGAATAGGTCTTGAAGACTTGAACATCATCAATCAATATGTAAAACATAAGTGATGTGCTCGTGAGCAATGAGCATAGTGGGCTCCAGATGAGGCCCAAACCTGAGGCCTTAATTAATATGGCCTTCTTAACGCATGAGTTTTCCCTTGTACGATTGTCATGAACCCCAAATATCATTGAACTCCTGAATACTGTAGCTCAACTCAATTTGTCTTGGTCGATGCATGCGAGTAGTTAAGATAATTACTGGTCACCCTTTTCGTAATTAACGTGGAAAACTAAATTGAAACTTGTAATGAAACAAGTATTGTATTTTTTTTTTGCAAAAGAAACTAGTATAGTATTTTGCACGGTATATGGCAAAACAGACGACCAACTAATTCTCAAAGTTTGATCATAACTCGATTGTGTCATCAGAGATCTTAAGGAATGTGGTGACGAGTCGGTTAAGGGAGAAAAAGTATCACTAGTGTTTAAAACAAGGTCTCCACAGAGAAACTAACAGGTAAGAAGAGGGACCATCCCGGGCAACACGCCGTTAGCTCTAGTTTCCACGAAATAAATAGTAAGAAACCAAAGCTCTTTTTAGTTAATTAAGTAAACGTCGATTAGTTTAGCTATATATAGTCTCCGTAAATATTTAGTAAATCCATGTAAAGACACATTTACATCTTCCCAACCCCTGCACTTCATTTGATGCACTTCCTCGTGCCTTCTTCGTTTGTATCTTGTTATTTTATTAAAGTCATTACGTTTTAACATGTTGTGTCATTAACTCACATTAACCTATTCTGACAACATGTGACATTTCTCACTTCTTATTCTTTTTTTCTTTCATCTTACTCTAAAATTGTCTACGCGTTTTAATTTAATGAAAATATGAGCTTCTAATTCAAAATAATTTGAGATAATAAATGGAGATATTGAGACTTTGCTACGTATTACTCATGTTCCTTTATCCTTTACTTTTTTATATGAGACTCTTAACATAGTTTTACATATGTTCCTTCAACTATACTTAAATCTTATCTCTTATCTTTCTAACCCTATAAAATATGAGAAGGATGATACTTATCTCGCCTTTTGGTTTTGTATAGCACACTAAGGAAAGAAATCCGTGTGCCGGATTATCAGCTCCGTGGTACAACATAAATTTATATAATAATTGTCTGAACTCTGGATACTGAAGATTCTTAACTATCCATCTTTTGTCTGTATATATATATTTTATCAAGGGAGGTCTAAATTAAAAGCCATAAGTTCTTTAAATATGTGGTGGAAGAAACATTTACAGTAAAAGAAGTCAAAACGATGGCAAAAAGGTTAGAAATATCAAATAGATTCTCTCGTCGGATTTCTTATGGCCAAACGGATCATCATTGAAACTTGAATGAAAGCGTTCGGGTTCGAGTTATGGTCCTTTCAGTTTATGGGCGAAACTTTAGCCTATTACACCATCAACTGCCTTTTTATATATCTTCGAGGAGCCACCATAAGGTATATAACTTAATGAGTATTATAATATAGATGCACCTAGAAGTACTAATATTCTTTTTGTTATTACTAGACGACACAAACCGTGCCTTTTTGACTCGGGTCTTTACTCCCATGAGAGCAAATTAAAAAAAAAATCAGATTTTATAGCTAATTTTGTTGAGCTTTACTTCCCTCATGTGTAGGTATCTTTTCTTCATAAACAACTAGAGAGAAGAGAGAGAGAGAGAGAGAGAAAGACCATATTTGGAAGCATATTTGATAATCCTGATGAATCTCACAATCATAGTACTAGCTTTCCTTATAATCATTCAAGCCCTAGAAGAGGACCATATCCTAGTCTATGCTCATGAAGGTGCCTTTACACAAAGATCCCTAATTTTACGTTTCTTCTTTCCTCTACTCTTATCTCACCTAATTTTTGTTTTTTCTCTTCTTTTTTTTTTTGTTCTAAAGACTAGCTTAATATAAAAGCTACTAATAACTTTCTTTTACTTTGTATCTCTCGATTTGTTTTGGTAGGCGGAGATGCTGGTCTCAAGACTCTAGACTATAAAGATAAAGATTCATCGACACTGCATCCTAAAGTATGCCCTTTTCATAAAGTTTATCTCAAAGAATTTGTATAGCTTAAATTAAATACATCCATTATATCAATTTATACACAATTACAGGATTCCCACCACTTCACCAGCACTGGAGCACCGAGGAAACTAAGGTCCGGTAGAACAATGAGAACCATGGTGGCTAGAGCCGAGAAGGAGAAAGTGAGGGCGATGAATAACGATGATTTGAGTATAAAGATTTCATCAGGTGCATCAAAGCATTTGATGGTGGAGCGAAAATTAGGGTTTCATAAGAGAAGTAAGAGTTCTTCATTTAAATGGAAACCTAAGAAGAAAAAATCTTCTGGTCGATTTGTAGCTTTCTATGATGATTATCGTGGACCAGCACGTCATCCTCCTAGACATAACCTATAATCACAACAGAAAAATAATATACTTTGTAATATTTGTAGCATTTTTGTATATTTCCTTTAGTTAGTTTTATGTTTCTTATTTTTGGGTCAAAACTAGTATTAAAGTTTTGTACAAAGAACATTTTCTGTCTCCTTTATAAGAAAATGAAGTTCATTTTTCGTTTATAATAATTACTAATAGTAGTGAGCATATCTTCATTCTATATATGTTTTGGCTTTATTGCAGGAGAGAATAAGAAGACCAATATATTTGGAGATCTTGACACCAGTAAGGTTGGTTTTGTAAACCTTTCTTTAAGACTATCATCATAGATTTAGTCTTTTAATTAATCCTACAGTATTAATAATTTCGTATATAATTTGTATTGGCAGCATATTGATGATCTCACCAACGCTAATAGCCTACCAGAACGTGAACAATTTTCTTCAGATATAGATATGAAGAAACTTTCTCGGTTGTTACGCAGTGATTATCCGATCCATAGTAAGCCTCGCGGAAAGCCTCCAGTCCATAACCGAGATCCTGACAAGATTTAACTGACTGGATCGGGCGACAAGAGTTTGAGTCATAATTAGAAGTATGATGATGAATTTTGTTAGAAAGATAGTTAATTATGTTGGTTCCAGTTTTGTTGATGTCTATAGGGACTTATGTCTTGTGTAATAGAGTAATAGTATAGCTGTTAGCTAGCCTAGTATTGAGGAGAGCTTCTTTTGTTGCTTGTTTTGAAATAAATTTATGCACTTTAGGACATTATTTTTTGGGAGAGTTTGTTGAATATTCATAAGAGATAAAAGAATGACGAATATAGCAGTCTCTGGAAAAATGTGTCAATTTGACACATAAATGGATATTTCACTCATTTGCAGTGTGTAAGCATGTGTATAACAAACACTGCAACTTCATACTATTCTATTTATAAAGTCAATAAAACATAATTTTTTCAAACATAATTGTAACCGTAGGAAAAAAATCAATTCTTTAGTATTAATTATTTGTATGGTTTAATGCGGTAGATCAGTGAATAATACAAAAATGCATATTTATTCGTAAAACAAATGTTTAAAATAAAGCATAATTTGCGAAAGAGGAGTTAATATAATACAAATAATATAAGGTTACTATTCTACATTTATTGACCATATATTATAGTATGTGGAGGGGAGGGGAGGGAGGGATGGGGATTATAGAAAAGAATTAGAAGAGAAGTTTACAGAAGACGATGGCAAGAGAGAGAGAGAAAGAGGGATGGAGGAGAACGAGAGGGAGGATGTTAAATAGATAGAAGAAGATGGAGATACCAAATAGTTAGAACAAAATGGAGATGTGCGAGAGATAATGATTTTAGCTCTATTTTACGCTCGTAAATAGAATATAATATAATAACATATTATTTAAAACATCACATGTTAGAAAGATAAGAGTAGAGATAGAGGGAGTGAAATAACGAGGGAAAAGGGAGGGAGATTAAGATGGAAATTGGAGATACTAATAGAGGGAGAAATGACAATTGATGAGAGATACAAAAAGAGATAGAAGAAAGATAAATTTTATCATTACCATTCCGTTTTGTCTTTCGTAAATAGAATAGTACAAAGTTTAATTATAGCTGTCTATTTTCAATATATAAATATATGTCACTTTTACAAAATTCAAAACATGTCATATACAAAAAAAAATCTATGTTTTTTATAATTATATAAGCAATTCAGATTATAGTTTTTAAAAAGTGAATTAAAAAGAGAGGTGAAAGTGAGAAAGGGTAATGTAGCAATTAATACATAAATATCATAACTTAGTTGTTGTTATGGTCTGAAACTCCATTTAAATCCTATTATGTATATGCGTCCAAATTTCTCTTCTTTTTTCTTCTCAATTTACAAAAAAAAAAATAAAAACTAAATAACTCTAGGAATAAAAAACTGACATTCATCTATATTTCATTATATAAGAGAGTAACTTTATTACATAATAAACTATGGAACAAAATTTACTCTATTTGTGTTTAAATTATTGAAAAATATAGTGTATGAGAGATGGTCTTAGGCTTTTGATATCAAAGTTCTAAAAGGAAAAGTTATGTTTAAGTAAAGATAAACAGGGTACACTAGGCCTAGGCACTGAAGGTCCCAATCGAGTTTTCGTTTTGTCCAATCGGGTCTTGGGTTTATCAAAATCAGCCCCATTCGAATTATTTGAAATTTTGGTTTGGGACCGGTTTGGGTTTTATCGGGTTCTGGTCGGAGTTAGTAAATCTTCAAAGAACCGGTATAACCCGTTGTACTTTCGGATTCGGGTCCCAATCAGTTCTTTGGTTTAAAAAATATCTTATTTGTACATACTTTATAACCAAAATATAAGTAAAACCGATTCTTCAGATTTAAAGTGCCTGATTTGTAACTATTTTCTAACCAAAACATAAATAATTTGATTCGAAAATAAGAAAAGAACATCAAACGTGATCATTTAAAATCAAATGAAAGGTAAAAATAGTTATTTATAGAAATAAAACCAAATAAATGTAAACATAAAATGAAAATCAAATTCTTAAGAAATGAGAAACATTATTCAATAACCTAAATCTTAAAAATTCAAGCTTATAGCATTTACTTTCATGTAACAAATAACTATTTTAGATTTTAAATACTTTCTTCAAGTTTTTTGGATACATATTAGGAATTGAGGTCAAGTTCAGTAAACATTCTTTTTTGAAATTTTAAATGTTTCGTGTTCTATCGGATATCCATTTAATTTCGGGTTTGGTTCGGATAATACCTATAACCTGAAATACCATAAAATAAGATTCATTCGGCATTTATGTTGGGTTTAGATCTGATCGATTAATTTTTATTGGATCGGGTTTGGTTCAGATTTTCGGATTCGGTTTATTTGTCCAGCCCTACACTAGATCAATCAACATAATTTAGATATTCGATTTTCTTAGTTTGAAAAAACTTCATGTATGCTATGGCCCAATATGCCAACAATTAATTTTTATATTTTTGGCATTAATTTTAACATAGTTTAATTCCTCTAGGTAGAATCAAGATAGATATTTGTATTAATATATCGTTGGTTCTCTATTTGTATCAAATACAACACTTGTGGATATTTAACCGTCTAAATTGTGTTTATATATGAACAAATATAAGATAAAACAGTAGAGCTTATATATCTATCTCACAAGACTCATGAAAACATGTAAGCTAATAAATAGTATTATTCTTTTTGGGTACAAAATATTATTATTCTTCAAAACCCTCAGTAAATATTTATTAAAATTATGATATTAAAATGATATAAGGCAAGATTACATAATATAGAAAATTTCGGCGTCCTTATCCCACATGAGTGTAATTTGGTCACCTTCTTTTAAACCTTTTGCTTTCACAATATCATTCCATTTGTCCACAAAATTATAAGAACCATTCTGGTATTTCACTAGTGTTACATGGTAATCAGTACCTTTCACATCTTTCACTATCACTTCAACACTTTTCTCCAAATTTTCGACTAAACCCCATTCCATTTCTGGAATTACAAATTCTTCAAACTCTCTTTTAGGTAGACGAAGTCTATTATTCTTCTGATCAACGTCACTACCTACCAATATCTTCTTCATAAGCCATGAGGAAGTTGTTTGTGAACTCAATTCCAAATTGATGTTTTCTGCCATAACTTACTTGGTGTTTATGAGTTTTTATTGGAATATATGAAATTGTTGTGAGTTTAAGAAAGGGAAGTCATCATCTGTGTTTATTATATATAGTTCTCAGACAAAATAACTTTTTCTTATTTTTTTCCTAATTTTTACTATTATTTATACGTTTTTCTTTAAAATAATTTATAATTAATGTTTCTTAGATTTTGTTTAGGCATATCCTACAAGTGTTTTAAATACCGTTCTTTGAATTTTAAACTTTTATTTTCAAAGAAGATTTGTTTTGTTTTGGCTCTAATAATAAGAAAATTTTTTTTATCTAGACATTATGGTATAATATTATGACACTGCAGCATGTGTCAATTTTATAATTTTCTTGATCATATAATACATGTATAACATTGATCAAATATAATTATACTTAGTCAAATTTGATAACTTATATTTATAAAAGTAGATTTATTTTCGTAAAGAAAAAGAACGATTAATCCCCCCTCCAATAACTTCCAAAAATGAAGGGAAACGTAATAAATTAATAGAAAATATAGTATTTGGATGATTTATCATTGGTAAATTCTTAAATCTGGAGTGCATGTGAAAGTAAAATAAAGAACATGTGTGATGTATCTAATATAATGACTACTAGATTTTGATTTGCGCTTTAAAAGTGTGAGATATTTTATGATGTAAAATTTCGTTAACAATGATACAAATGTTTTAATTAATTTGTAAGAGTTTATCTATTTATTGCATTTATGTCAGCGAGTTTAAACCCGATCTGGATCTACGGTCAAACTCCCGTTGACTTGATATATAATCTATTTTTGGTTTTATAAAATGTTTTTATTAATTTTTAAGAATTTGTCTATCTAAAACTTGCATTTAAGTCAGCTATTTTAAACTCGATCCACATCCACAGTCCAACTGATAAACCGGATATACAATCCGTTTAGGTTCAAGAAGTATCCCTAGAAAATTATATAATCAGTTTGATTAAAATATTTTATATATTAATTTTAAAAGTTAATTTCAATATTTTCATTATATTTAAATACTTATTTATTTTAATTTTATTGTATTTTGGACCGTACGTAGTAACTCCAAATTGTTATAAAAACTTCTTTACACTATCTATTGTATATTTTATTTGCAACTGAAAATAAAGAAAATAGATTTTAAAACTCTATTATGTTTTGAAACATGATTTTTATTTTATTTTTAATACTGATGAATATATAAGTAAGTATACATGTAACGTGTTTAAACTATGCATTTGGTTATAATAACAATAACGTGTATAATGTAACGAGGGAAAAATATGTTATGATTTTACATGGAACCCAATGTCATATATGAATTGGTGTTAGTTTTTTTTGGAAAAGTATAAAATACAAAACTTCTATTATCATTTAATCTAGAAAAAAATATGATACATACATTTTTGTCCAGATTTTTAATTAACCAAACTGCATGGATACGATTCTATTTGATTCACCATTATAATAAATAAGAGAGATGGGCTGGTTAAAAACCAACGATAATAACCTGGGAGTTGTAATGTTTTATAAGGCAATCAGCATTAATGATCTTGGGTGAATCTATATTATTAAAAGAGAAGTACCCATATAAAATACCCCTTAGTTTTTACTTTTATTTACAATAGCATGCCACTGAAGTTATTAATTACCCTACTTTATAGGATTTTTTGTCTTTTCACTTTAATTAATGCATTTCCAAAATCAAATTTTAACTAAAAATAATTATGGCAAGAATAATTAATGAAAATAATTATTTTCATTTATACCTTTCGTAATTAAATAAATAAATTCTATAGAAATTGTTTTACTAATTCCATATACATAATAATTAATTTCAATATTAATTAACCTATATTTTAGGATTTTTTTCTTATTAATAATCTACATATCTTTAAATAGTTAATGAACAATATTGTTTTCAAAGATATATAATTATATTTTTATTATTTATAAGTAATAACTAAAATAAAAGTCACAAAAAGAAACATTTATATAATATATAATACATAGATTAATATAAACATATTATGTTATATATATTTTTATATAAATAATAGTTCAAGGTAAATTCAGAATAATAAAAGTTAAAAAAGTAGAAATATATAGGACCATATATTTTAAATAGTAGATACAACAATTTAGTTATACATTATCATAAAATTTTGATCCATAAAAAAAAAACATTTTTGCAGAGTATACGGGCATATTTTTAAAATAAGTATGACACAATGATAGTTTATAAAATAAAATTACTCAATATAAACTATAAAATTATGTGTTTCAAATGTCTTTTTAAACAATTATTTAAACGGATAAATTTAGAAATATATATTATCACTTATAAAATATATAAAAACAAACACTTGTGCAGATCAAACAACAAAATTTTCGATATTCTTCTGTTAAAATTAAACCCATGAGTAATTTGTAACCATTTAATTGATACTTCATTTTTTTATTTTAAAAATTTCAAACCAAATGTTTTATATATTAAAAAATTTATATAATTTGAACATCAGGCTTTTTCTTAGAAATGTTATAACTAATTTATCATTTTTCGTATATCATATTAACTCTTACTTCTCAAGATTTGATGTATCTTTAACTGAAAAATATTTTCAATATATCGTCTACATATTAGATTTGTTTGTATGATACCCAATATTTTTGATACAATAAATTGTTAACACACACAAAAAAAAAGTTAATGTAATACAATTAATTTTTACAAAAATTTCATCTAATATAAAAATTTAAAAAATAAAATTAATACCCGTGCGGCCGCACGGGTCAAGGTCTAGTTTAACTTTATAATAAAAGATCTATCTAATTTAAAAACTTACAAAATAAATATTAGGTCTAATACAATATTTATATGTTAGATCCAATTAAAAGATATAACATTCACGCACATATACATAGCCAAACAGTATTTGCTCCAGCTATGTGAACTAATTGAATATGTACTGGAAATATATATATTTGAATTTCCAACTATGTAAATTTAATTTTGTTTATTTTAAGACAGTTGATTTCAGTTATCTGCATAAATTACCTTTTTAGTAGTTTGATACCTTTTTTTTTCTGATAAATCTATCAGCTGATCCGGTTAATTCATACCTACAATTTTTCACTCTAAAACAATACGCACATACACATTGGCATGTAGAGTTAAATTGTTTTCATGATTTTCCCTTTTTCTTGCATATATAGACTAGGCATGGGCACTCGGGATCTCAATCGGGTTTCCGTGTTGTCCAATCGGGTCTCGGATTTATCAAAATCAGCCCCATTCGGATTATTTGAAAGTTCGGTTCGGGTTTTATCGGGTTCGCGTCGGAGTTAGTAAATCTTCAAAGAACCGGTATAACCCATTATACTTTTGGATTCGGGTCCCAATCGATTCTTTAGTTTAAAAAATATCTTATTTATACATATTTTATAACCAAAATATAAGTAAAATCGGTTCTTCAAATTTAAAGTACCTGATTTATAACTATTTTCTAACCAAAACATAAGTAAAATGATTCGAAAATAAGAAAAAAACATCAAGCCTGATCATTTAAAATCAAATGAAAGGCAAACATAGTTATTGATAGAAATACAATCAAATAAATGAAAGCATAAAACGAAAATCAAATCCCCTATATATTAAAGGAGAAGCATTACAACATTTTTTTGTAGCCACGTGTCATCACCACAATCATTCTTAGAATCCTTAGAAAATATGATGGTCCATCTAAATATATAATAAGCTTTTTATTAAACTAATCATAAATGATTTATTAATTTTTTTCATTGTTTCCTTAAATAAAAATAACAGAATTACCAAATATGGTTAAAGAATATATGACAATAACTTATTTTCAATAACAAAGATTTGATAAAAATTAGTGTATTTTTAAGTTTTAACTTATTAAAGTAAATTAAACAACTATATTACTATATAATAAAAAATTAGATTTTTTCGTATATAATATATCTTGAAAATTTTAAAACGATTATAAATGACTAAAGTTGTTACAAAATCTCACATTGAAATTTTGTGATCCATGGTTAAATTTTTTTTATATAACAAAATAGAATTGATTACAAAACTATATATGTAAGAAGTCTCATTTAATATATATATCCCCTATATATTAATTGGAAAGCATTACAACATGTTTCTGTAGCCACGTGTCATCATGAGAATGATTCTCAAATATACAAGAAAAAATGTTGGTTCATATAAACATATAATATACTTTTTATTAAACTAAACTTAAAACTATTATTAATGCTATTAATTATTTCCTTAAATAAAATTTACGAAATTATCTAATATGGTTATAATATATATATGATAATAAATGATTCGAATATGAAGATTTGATAAAAAAATTTATAGCTTCTACTATTTTTTTTAAACTTATATTGTGAAAATAAATTAAACAATAACATTAGCTATATAACAAAAAAATAGATTTTTTTGATAAATGTTATATTTTGAATTTTTACAAACAACTATAAATCAATAAAACATTTAAAAATTTAACATATATTATTTTTGATAAGTAGTTTAAATCTCCTATATTTTAATACTTGAGCATTACAACATTTTTTGGTAGTCACGTGTCACAATGAGAATGATTTTCATAACTCTTCGAAAAATATGCTGGTCCAACTAAACATATGTTATATTTTTATTATACTAACTAATAACTATCATATTTAATTAGTAATGTACAAAATAATATTTTCTATTATTTCCTTAGATAAAAGCTACGGAATTACCTAATATGATTAACATATTATCACAATTAATGTTTATGAATAATAAAGATTTGATAACAATTTTTATCATCTTTACTTTTTATTAATTTTATATTATTAAAAGAAATTACACAATCACATTAATCATATAATTAAAAAATTAGATTTTTTCTTATATGTTATATTTTGAATTTTTAAAACAATCATAAATTACTAAAAATG